CCCCCTGCCCGGCTGAGCGCAGCAGCGGCAGCTCGATGGTGACCACCAGCTCGCTTGGCACGGGGCTCGGGGCCGAGTCCCGGGAGCAGCGGTAGTCCTGGAGGTCCACGTGGTGGCGCTGCACCACGCTGTAACGCGGCTCCGTGGGGGCGGGCGGCGGGGTCGCTTCCCGAGAGCAGGGCGCCTGGTGCCGGGCGGCGGCCGCCGGGGGCCGATAGGGGTATGGGAAGTCCGGGAGGGGGCTCTCAGGCTCCCCCTCAGGCCGGGCCGGGGCGCCCCCGGGCAGGGGCGTGCGCAGCACCGCGGCCTCCGGGGTCCCCTTGTACCTGGCCTTCAGAGTCTTGGCATTCCGGCGGTCCAGCCTCACGCCGAACTGCTGCTCCACGGCCTCCAGGGCAGTGGCGTCCAGCATCTGGCGGAAGGGCTCGTGGCGCCGAGCCAGCGCCAGCGCGTCCGGATGGAAGACCACGTCGTAGACCGTATACCGGGAGCTGTTGCGCCCCGCGTACTCGCGCCCCGGCGCCAGGCTGTAGGGCAGGGACCAGTGACTGCCGGGTGCGGCGTCCCGGTCGCCCCCGGGTCCCGGCCGGCTGCTGGGCGCTGCCACCAGCGCGTTGCTACACACGTTCACGAAGCAGCGCCGCGCCCCGTCCAGGCTGGTGCGCAGCACATGGCCCGGCTCCGGGTGCACGAAACGCACCTCCACCCCGCGCTCACGCTCCAGCGCCGTGATCTCTGCCTCGTAGCGCCGCCGGTTTTCTGGGTCCGTGAGCTCCTCGGCGTACTCGGAAAACATTCGCCGGAACTCCGGGTCCTGGAAGGCGTTGGTGAGCCGCTGGACCTCCTCTCTGCTCAGGTCCAGGTCCTCAAGCGGCGAGGAAGCTGCCGCTTTGGCCATGCTGCTCGGTGGCTCCTAACCCTTGAGCTAAAGGGACGCGCCCTTAAGTGTCTGGTCAGCAGAGAGCTAGGTCGCCGAGATCCCCTAACGGCCAACAGGTGGATTGCGTCCCCCCCCCCAGCGCGTGCTCGTTGCCATAACAACATCACTAACACCCGAAGGGAGGGCAGGAATGGCCTCATAGTTTCTTCAAATCATGATACCAACCATCCTTTCTGCGATTTTTAGATTCCTGTGCTACGGTGCAGTTACTTCTGCAGACTCCTGTAATACTTGCCATAATTGCCGTTATCATGTACTTATCCCATTCGTTGTTACCAAATCTTTTATGTATTTTTTAAATAATTATTTAACTTTATTATTATTATTTCCCAATTTGATCAGAGAGAGAAAGGAAGGGAAAGTGAGAAAGCAAGCCGCCAGGTTCAGGGCTTGAACTGTAGTCGACCATTTGGGAGTCCACCGCCTGTAACCATCACACTACCGGCCAGGACCAGATCTTTAAGATAAATTTCCTTTGCATTTCACAGACAAGAAAATGGGACCTGCGGAGTTACATGACCAAGGGCACACGGCCAGTGTATTCACAGCTGCAATTCAAACCTAAGAATAACTGCCATTTTTCACTTTACTAAACTGGCATTTCAGTTTTATTTCTTTGCACTTTCTAGATATTCCACCACACAATTTGCCCAGTAAAAGCTCCCATTTGGGGCAAGAGAGATGGGCAAGCTATCCTTAAACAAATAGCAGTGGCCAATGTCATATCAAACTTTGCTCTATTAATAAAAACTATAAATATGCAGTAACCACATAACACCTATCAAAATGCCAAAGATGTTTTACAATTACTGTATTTGCTTTGGGTGGGAGTAGAATTTAGTATTATCTGCCTAGAGAGTACTTTTGCAGTTGTCCCAAAAGCTTTTAAATGGAGCTGGCAAGTGGCCTGGTGGTTAAGGGTGCTGGACTCCCACATGGCCAACTGTTTGAGTCCTGGACCTGGCCGGTTGCTTTCTCACTTTCCCCCTCCCTCAGAGCAGTATTCAGTTAACAGAACCACAATTATTTTGTATAAGCTGCATCTGAGACAACCCAAGATGAAAAACCTACCATCCCTGTATATAACTAATTTGTGCTGTACAGCAACAAGAACCTGCTTTAAATTTCCATTTTGATTTACAACCCACATACTGTACCAGGCAAAGTTAGTGGCTACTGAAAATACCACCAGGACAGGGCTATCTAAAGACACATTCAGTAGTGTGTTAAGTATATAAAAACAAACAAACAAACACTGTACAGTTTAAAAACAAATCCTATACAACCTTACATTTCAATTTCTTTCTTTAAAAGGAGTGAGTTGTATGGGGGGGTTTTAAATGCTTTATAGTGCACTAGAACCAACTTACTCATCATCATCTTCATCCTCTCCATCTTTCTTTTTCATCTTCATGGTCTCCTTTTTTCTTGTTCTTTTCAGCCTTGAAAACTCCCTTTTTTGCTGCATCGAGCTTTCCTTTAGCTCGGTATGCAGCAATATCTTTCTCATATTTTTCCTTCAGTGTGGCAGCCTTCTTTCATAAGGCTGTTTATCATCTGCAGCAGAGCTATTCCACATCTCTCCCAGTTTCTTTGCAGCATCACCAATGGATAGGCCAGGATGTTTTGGGTTTTTGGGTGATATTCAGAACAGAATGAGAAAAAGGCTGAAGTAGGCCTCTTGGATGCATTGGGATCCTTGAACAACTTTTTTGTTTCCCCTTTAGGAGAGATACAGGTTTTCATTTCTTTTTCATATCTTCAAACTTTCATTTTGCTTTAGCAGACATGGTCTTCCACCTCTCTGAACACTTCTTTAAAAACTCTGAGACGTTGACTGAAGCATCTGGGTGCTTCTTGTGCTCCTCCCGGCAAGTTTGCACAAAGAATGCATATGATGACATTTTGCCTCTCGGCTTCTTAGGATCTCCTTTGGCCATGTTGAGTTCAGCCAGTGCCTGTCTGGCTCTCACTTGCCCTGGCACTGTCTGTCAATGTACCCTGCCTTTCTAGCCATTAACTGTGTTCCTGAAAAGATCTCAGAATACCTTAGCTTTAACTAAAAGAAACAATTATTTGTTAAATGAAGGGATGCCTTGTGTCCAATTTCCATTTATAACCTACCTATCATTTTTTGTATGGTTCTCTAACTAGACCAATAGGGTCCAGGACTCGAACCTCAGTTGGCCATTTGAGAGTCCAACAATGTAACCACTATGCCATCTGCTGGACCCACCTTGTGTGTTATGTTAACTCTACTTTCAAGGCCCAGATTATAAATTTTCCCAATCTAGTCACTTGTAAATTTATGCTTTGAGTTCTTTAAACTTCATTTTTTAAATAATTATTTATTTTATTTTATATATTCATTCATTTATTTTTTAGTTTGAGCAGAGAGAGACAGAGGGTGAGAATGAGAGAGAGAGAGAGAGAGGAAATGAGAAAGCAAGCCCCCAGATTCAGGACTTGAACCCTGGTCGGCCATGTGGGAGTGTCCAGCGCCTTAACCACCACAGCACCTGCTGGTCCCCTAAACTTCATTTTCTTCTAGGTTGTATTTGAAATTAAACCTAAATTAAGCTTTTCTAACATTTCCTCCCAACTTTCCATCCTCAAACTACATAAACAACAAGCTTCCTCCTTGTTGCAAAACTCACTCATTATTACACTGAGATTAAATTTCCCAGAAGAGGCAAGTATATGTGCCCTATAGCAAAAATCTCTCTTAAAAAAAAAAAAAATCCCAGAGACTTTCCCCTTCATTATGTCACTTTAATGTATAAAAAATTAGTATCTCTATCTAAAAGGGTAATTCTCTTTAAAAAAGAGAACATCTTCTAGTCAAGGCTCTTTGTAATGTTTAAGATTACTCATATTTATGGGGCCGGCAGATGGCATTGTGATCTTAAGTGCTGGACTCCCACATGGCCAACCACAGTTCAAGTCCCAGACCTGGCAGCTTGCTTTCTCGCTTTCTCACTTTCTCTCTCTCTCTCTCTCTCTCTCTCTGTCTCTAGTCAAATTAAAATAAATAAATAAGTAAATAAAGAGTTAAATAAAGTAATTCTTCAAAAATTACTCATATTTGAAACAATCTGTGTACCTCTATCTAACAACTTCTTTTCATTTATATTTACCTCTGGGCTGTCATTTCATTAACCCCATAAATGATAGTAAGAGAATGGTATTGAGTTGTGATACAGAAAGTAGCAAAACTTGTTACAATTTGAATGTGTCTCTCCAAAAAACATGTACTAGAAACTTAATCCCCAGTGCAGGTATTGGGAGGTGGGGCCTAATGAGAAATGATTAGGCCATGAGGGTGGAGTGAGTGAATTAATGCCATTATGATAGGAGTGGGTTCCTTATAAAGAGCAAGTTCAGCCCCATTTTGTTTCTCTGTCTTCCTCTCTTTGCCCCTCTACAGTGGGATGACACAGCAAGAAGGCCCACTCTAGGTGCTGGCCCATCCAGAATGGCGAACCAATGTATTTCTATTCATTATAAATTACCCAGTCCATGGCATTCTGTTAGAGCAGCTGGAAACAGACTAAGGCACATGTTGATTCAAAATCAGTGTGGGCCCTGCCATGATAGAGGGCATCAGTAGACATTACTATTTAGCAAGCTGAGGCCTTACGGGAGGCCCAGGTTCAATTCCCGGTCCACCCTAAAAGCCAGGTAGGGTGGCACATGCCTAACGTACCAGCTACTCAGGAGGCTGAGGCAATGAGACTCTTGTCTAAACATTTAAATAAACTTGGGCCAGCAGGTGGTTAAGGTGCTGGATTCCCACATGGCTGACCGTAGTTCAAGTCCTAGACTTGAAAATCATGCCAGGCCATGTGCTAGAAAGTGGTCGAATATGGAAGATTTATTGCTGAGTGAAGCAAGTCAGGCTATGAAAGAAGAATATTGTAAGTCTCCACTAAATATATAGTGACTATCCATACTCTATGGTAGAGACCGAAAGATTAGAGGACATAAAAGCATTGAAAGTAGTTATGGACACTGAAGACTGTGTGTAAGGAGGGTGGGAGAAGGGAAAGAAAATAGAGAAGGAAATTAGAGGGGGAATAGGCAAGACATTTGTGGGACGCAGTAATGGTTTATTACCTATTGATGATACCATGTATAATGTCAGCTGGACTGGTCTGAGGTGTATCTCATGCTGGGTAAATTCTCTCTGCAAGCCAAATGATGTATAGTGATTGAATGTATAAAATAATAAAAACTACAAAAAGAAAAAGAAAATCATGCCAGGCATGTGTGTGCAGGTGCCTAAAATCCCAACAGGAGAATGAAGAACAACCGTGGTGTAGCCATGTCCCCCGGGGGCTAATTTCTCACTTTCCCTCTCTCTGTCTCTCTCCCCACAGGCAGTGCACATGCCCTAAGGGGGGAAAAAACCCTGAAAAAAATTTAAACAAACTTATCTTCTAAATGTAAAAACTATGGGGACCAGCGGGTGGCGTAATGGCTATGTCACTGGACTCCCACATAGTCGACCGTGGTTTGCGTCCCGGACCTGGTGGCTTAAAACTCATGTCGGGCGCGTGTGCGTGCGTGCCCAGGATCCCAGGAGGAGAAGAGGAGAAGGGATTGTGGCGTGGCCATCCCCCCTGGGGGGTGATTTCTCGCTTTCTGTCTATCTGTCTCTGTCTGTCTGGGAGCGCATGCTCCCTATAGCGAAAACCTCTCCAAAAAAAAAAAAAATCTCTTAAAAAAAATAAACATTAGAGTATGACTAGTATAGAAGTAATTAAACTTTTTAAGTAAAGATATAAGTTACATAGCGATTGAATGTTTAAAAAAATAATAAAAGAAAATGGTGAAAAGATATAAACAAAAATATATAAAAAATAAAAATGACTAAGAATATTAACAGACTTCACAGGAAAGGAAATATTCTAACATTTGCCATATTTTATTGTAACATTAAACTTACATAAAATATATAATGAAGCAGAAAATTGAGGTATTTTGTTTCTTCAGATGGTCTTTAAGAATCTCAAAAGCCTTGCAGTTTGCTGAAAATAGAAAAAAAAAACCATCAAATTAAACATTTTGGAAACCTATGTTTTTGTATGTTTCTTAATATTTAGTTGTAATTCATTAATTTTAAAAAAATCAGTCAATATGTGGACATTGTTCCAAATGCAAAAGGGGACACTAAAAAAATGTCAGTCTCAGACCCCATTTCTGTTTTTCCAAAGCAACTGTATATCCTTATAAAGGTAGATTAAGTTTTAAAATAGTTTTCTAACAGTACAGAAAC